ATCAAAGAGTCTTTATGCCCAGTGGGTCGGAAGCGCGGTCAGCGTTCGTTCTCTAATGACGTATGACGATTGGCACTTTTACCCTACTGTCACGTACGGGAGATCAAGCAACTTGCTGTGCGGTAAAAGTAATAGCTTTTGTATACACTTGGAAAGTTTAAACCTTGAAACTCATGATTCAGCAACTTTACAACACACTAAGAACTCTTTTAATAGAATACAGCAGCTGTATAGCGATTCACAGATAATTATATACAAGAGAACTATAACAAAGATCGCACTGACTGATTCAAATGTGGACTAAAACACAAAATTCAAACCACAAAACCGCGTCAATACAAGTAATCTAACATCCAAATAAACCTATACAATCACTTAAGAACCGGAACTAAGTACAATGGCGATTTGACTGCAACCTGAGACCGTATCTTGCGTATATCTGTCATTTGATAGGTGCTTGCGCATCTCACAGGCGTATGTCCGGTCTTTTATGGTATTCGTAGTGTAGACTTAAGAAAGATATCGCAATTTAATTCATTTCTGTCTATATTGAAGATCCACACAGGTGTTTAAAATACTACATGACATTTACATAGACATATTCTTACATGCATCTGAAACTTTAAGGCCTATAAGTAACGCATACACTAGTAGTAATCGTACTGTTTCCATTATAACATTAAAAAGACTACGCAGCATTCAGCAATTAACATTCCTTTTGGTTTTCCTTTCTAAAACCGGATTCGCCAAAGATGCTCTTCAATACGGTAGATATACTAACAAAAACTAAACATATTGAGCTCCTTTAGAAACTCAATACTGCCCAAAAATGTAAGCGTAATGCACAAATCGCTAACAATTGATTTCCGTTTCCTCGCAGATAACCACACCCCTCTGCAGAACCATTCATCCGAATATGATGTCCTTATTCACGGATTATCATGATCGGCACTTTTTAATCTGATCTCGCCACAGTTGATACTGGTGTTAAATAAACTATATAGATATATATATCTAAGAACGAATTTACGGTCTTTTATTTAGATATATTGCAGAATAGTTTTTAATAAATCACAATTCAAAAATGAGTGCTTCAGTACAAAAACCGATCAATGCGACAAATTTCGATACTAATTTCGTTTATTCTTATATATTGAAAAGAGTGGTCGCATTTTGTTCAGGGGGTCGATTCAGAATCTTACGATAACTCAGTTGTCGACCGATTCGGTTTGATATCGTACGATTTCGTTTCGTTTTAATTCACAACAATAATTCTGAATCGGGACCCAGATCCGTGCATTTTTGAATAATTTCATTTTATTTTATGAATATTTTCTACTTATTTATTTTGTTTATTATTATATATTTATGAATAATTTCAATTTATTTCATTTTATTTATTTTTATAGTAGTGACTTGTTAGTGGCTAACCATCGAGCTACAATTCAAATGCCATTGCAATTGTTTGGTATGATGGCACATCGATAGTACAGTAAACTATGTTCTACTAATTATTTTACGTAAAAGAAACATTTGATTTGCAGCCTAAACAAGATAAAATTAATATATGCTTAGTAATTTTCACGGTAGTTTTAGTAAGGCAACATCGATCGTTAGTGGTTGAATGAATGAATGCTATCACTGCCATTTCTTTGACATTCTATTGAGGCTCAACTACCATTGTAAATAGATTTTAGCAGAATAGTCATAAGTCAGTATTGCAATATAACCTCAATGAAGTTTTAATGGAATGACAATGGCCAGTGTTCTTTCAGGATATGTTGGATGTTTATCGCAAAGATACGATTAGTTTCGGTTACGTTAGGTTAAGTTGCGGCGGCATGCGCCCTAGCTGGATCCGCATCCTGGGAGGCGTCCGTCCTCGAGCAGACCTACAGGTGCCGCGCGGAAGCTAGGGCACGTGGAGAGCGCCCCACACTAGTGGGGGTGCGGCGTGCCGCCAAGACCGCCGTTCAGGCGGAGTGGGAGGAAGCCCTCCGATCGGCCAGATACGGGAAGCGCACCGTCCAGACGCTGCTCCCTGTACTTGCCGATTGGAGGAAAAGGAGGCACGGATCACTCACCTACCGTCTTGTGCAGGTCCTCACCGGACACGGCTGTTTTGGTGATTATCTGCACAATATCGCACGGAGAGAGGTGACCCCGAAGTGTCACAAGTACGGCGTTGCTGCAGACTCCACGAGGCACACCTTGGAGGTGTGCCCGTCCTGGAGTCAGCAGCGCTGGGATCTCGTAGAGGTGGTGGGACGAGACATCTCACTGCCCAGCATAGTTAGAGCCACGCTAGGAAGCGAGAGGTCTTGGCAGGCGATGGTCTCCTTCTGCGAGGACGTGATGTCGCAGAAGGGGACGGCCGAACGGGTCCGCAAAGACAGCGCCCTCTCGGACCCCATTCGGCGTCGGCGGAGAGGACGCACGCGACGGCTCTTCGCGGGCCGCCTGCGTCCCATCAGCGGAGGCCAGCAGGGTGCAGGGTTGGGAAACCCTGCCCCTGCATTGCACAGGCCTCCGCCGCCGATAGATGCCCCAAATTTTCCTCACGGTAATAAAAAAAAGGTTAGGTTAAGTAAGGTTTAAAAAAAATTCCTCTGAAAATTACTTTCGAGGTTATGAAAATTCGAGCAAACGTTGTTTCTGGAAAATGTAATTTCGGACTACTGATAGGCAACCCGTTATCCAACAGCGTTCACGGAGTTAATCGGTGAATTTTTTTTTAAATAATAACGCACACACTCAACATAGCCCCGCACTAGGGAAACCCTGTGTCGCAGGTGCCATGGACACACACATAGACAACCACAAATTACACCCAAACTCACGAGAGAAATAAATGTAGACCATACAAACATTTCCGAACCTGGGACCTCTGCGTGGCAGTCCGGCATGGTAACCGTTCGGCCACTGAGGCAGTTTTATAGATTATAAGAAAAATCAAAATCCTTTTATACACATTTTTAAGACTTTAAAGGCCTAAAATATAGAAATGCATTAGTCTTGCATTAAAATAAATTCATAAAATTGAACAAAATCCAGACTTTATTTAAAATAATAAGAGATTTCCATTACATTCTTGCTTTGTAAACAATAGGAAATCCGGTATCTTTCATTCGATAACTGTTGAATAATGTTTGTAACCTTTGCCGGTCGAGAAGATCGAGTAATCGTACATGTGTGACGTCATTTCGGTTCGGTTTCTAATACGCCAATTTGACGTTCGATTCGGATGTTGTGATTAAAACTGAAACAAAATCGGTCGACAACTGACTTATCGTAAGGTTCTGAATCGACCCCCAATTGGATACATTACTCACAGAAACGTGTAAAAACTACCGTCCGGCATTAGAAAAGAAAGACAAGTCAAAATGTGACTTATCGGTTTTTATTGCGCTGTTTATTACACTGTGATTTTCGACATTGTGAACATAACAGACAAAATTTGTTTCTCATCGTTATTTTAATCTAAATCTTTTGCATTTAAGAATTATTATCATCGTCACTTCGCTTCACCTTAGATCAGCTACTGAAGCGTAAACGTTTCGAGGGCCTTTAAGTATACTACTGCAAGAGTACTGACCCATAATCTTTAGTGGAGTTAGAACTCAAAATTATATATATAACATAACAAATTATTACATAAGTACGTAATAATAGAAATACAAGCTCTAACGCTGCTGAAAGCTGTTACTTGCTCAAGAAAATAATCTTAAATTTTCAAGAATGAGAAAGTCATCACGTGCGTGTTTAAACGCATTTAAGATTTTACATATATTTCCCACACAAAACTCTAATGGCTCAAAAACAGAAAACCTAATCAACCGTATACCTTACGAACAAAAAGTGAAAGAACACGACTACTTGAGAGCATCAATAAAGTTAACATTTTATTGCCGTCTCGTTTTGACAGTCGGTGTGATGCCGAACTTCAGTATTAGTTCATAATTTATTGACATACACGTTTTTTGACACCTAATCTGTACACTTGACTTGAAACAAGTGGTCCATTCATGCTACGTGTTATTTGACGAGATGCAAGAAAGGATGCCTTGTCGTCACCAATTAGTACGGATAAAAAAATGCATAAGTTCATTGACAGTGTCGTCATTAATAAATTTCTGCTGTCAATATGCGTGACAGCAGTTTTCTTCTAAATAATGACACTAAGAGTGGTTACACATGCCAACTTTTAGCAGCGATGCAAACGCGTGGTCGTGTAACGCGGTATTGCATCACTACACCTGCGATTTATAGGCGATTGCATCGATGCAAACACGCGACTGCATCGATACAAACACGCAACAGCATCGATGAATCGCATATAAATCCCAAGTGTAGCGATGCAATCGCGCGTTTGTATCGATGCAGTTGCGCGCTTATATCGCTGCTTAAAATCGCGCGTATGTGTTAAGGTTAGGATTAGCGGTTGCATCGCTACTGCATCGCGTTTGTATCGCTGCTAAAAATCGCCGTGTGTAACCTCTCGCTCATAAGGGAAGGACTTCTAGAATTTCTAAATTTCGTTTTTATTCTTTTTCAGTACATCTGGCGCAACCTGGGTAACAATGGACAAGCACCTTTCACCACAATGACAAGCATTATACGAGTAGTACACACTATAGTGTATGCCATCGATACGTTAAGAAGAAGAAACTATAATTTTGTACATTCAATTCTTTGGCACGACTTGTAACGTGCGCTCAATAAAGTGAAGTTATACAAATTATTAGGTTTTAACAGGTATAAATTGAGCGACTGATAGCTTATTTAGAACGTTTGCTAAGTAAGTAAAAGCTCTTCGAATCATCTGTTTACTATTTGCTACTTACTGAAACGGTAAAGGAGAATATCGTGTTGAAACTTGCATATTGGAGCAAGTTCACAAAACTCGTCAAAGTCCATACCTCCTTAAAGATGTCCAATAGTAGAATCGGATTATGATGATAATTATGAGAAACAGGTCTAACATAGATGGAAACACTCACCTCCCAAGCGTATCTCCTATCCAGGGGCTGTGTCACCCATTTCCCAATAAAGGGACCATACCTCGTTCCACTACTAATATTTCTTCTCGCAAAAATGCCTCCAGCCTTCAACGCTAACTCATTTGGCAAATCATAATCTTTGCTTAATGAGTAATCTGTGCTTATAAGATTGTCTTTAGAATCCTCCTTTTCATCTTTCTGGTCGAATTTTTCTTTGAAGTCCAAGGAGCGAGGGAGATATCGTCCATAGTCTAAGTTGGAAGGTAGATATGTGTCAGGGAGTGCGAAGTCAATGGCACCATAGTATTCTTTGATGTCACCTCCTGGAGGCATCTCCTGCTTGATGTGAACTAGGGTGGGCGGAGGTTCCGACGTGGCAGAATCAGTCGGGCTCGGCGGAGGGCTGCCAGACTCCTGGCTATCTGCCGCTGTAGACAAGGAAAATCGTAGCTGAGATCAATAATCAAGAAAATAAGGCCATAAGTAAAAGACTCACTGAAAAAGAACAACGTGATTGAAATAAATAAGACTTGTTTAATGTGTTCATGTGACTTGTTTTCTTGTAACATGTTCTGAGCCTATCAAGCACAATGATTACAGCAACCATTTTAAGTAACGAATTTAATCACAACATTGTGATTGTGATTTTAACCCATCATGCCCCCAAGAGACACACAGTGTTTTCATCCGCCATTAAAAAAATAGTTACATAATTTACTTAAACTTAAAAAAAAATTAAAAGAAATATTTATAATAAAATTCAAAAAATATTTTACCAAAATCGTACGAGGTCGTGTCTCTAAAAGGCGTGACGGCTCAATCAACTATCTTAAGTAACTTGAAAAAAGTCAATGTTTTCCACTGCAATTTGTCTACCAGATAACGTCGGTTTAGGTCAATTTTTATTCATAATTTTAGATCACATTTTTTATATACTCAATGAATACATTTTTTATATAGGATATATTGCATATTAAGTACTCTATAGTCGTATTATAGGCATAATAAAATACTATTGGGTTTATTACTATTGAGTTCATTAGATACATACTCGTATAGGACGCCTATAACATGCGAACGCAAGTAACGTTTGTTATTAGAAGTCATTACTTACAACAATATAATTAGTTCATTTCCTAAGCAAAATTATTTATAGTTTTCATATATTAAAAAAAATTAACGCTTTAACGAAATTTTTATCATATAAATATCAAAAATTGCACTTGGTTTGAACCTTGATGTCTGCGCAATCTAATTTTTTTTTTAAAGCAATGAAGACGTGCAAGATGGTCTTATTGTGTCTGCTTCCGTTCCATACAAAGCATTTCCGCTTGTCTCTTCTGTCTTCGAACACCCCTACGTAAAGCAAAGCTATAGACAAGGTAGAGTAATTCGTAAATTACTGATAAATATACTAATGAAAATAATTATGTTTATTATAAGGCTTATTACAAATAATAACCCTTAAATAAACAAAACTATTTTATTTTTTTAAAAAAAAGGCCCGCACTAAGTAATCCTTTAACAGAGAAACATTCATTCATGTTTTGGTCACACTACAGTACAACAAATAATTCTATATGTATATTCTATATATATATGGTATGCGATTTAACGGTATGGTCTATGATGCACCTTAAGCCTTGTTAGTTTTGGATTTTCAATTAACAAAACAACTGACATTACAATTCAAGGTGATTACCATAACGATCGATATTAAAAACAAACTACAGACAATATTTCGTATTCGCTACATCCTATTTCATTTCCCATACATTTACAACGTATAATCACACGAGCAAACACACATTAAACGAAAGACAAATTCAACGCGTGTCATTTATAAAACCCCGACAATGATGCTCCATAAATCATAACCACCCTATCACTACTAATATAGTTGTTAAAACAACCCCCTCTATATAGAAAAAAAACTATTAATAATACCGGTGTATCTTGTCCCAGCTCTTCCTAGCACGTGGCGGTAAAAAAAATAAAATTAGAACGCCTCTTTCGATAATGAATGACAAAGGTGCAGTTTTGAATAACAATACGAATACGGATGTGAGTGAATATTGAGGAATCTCTTTCATTGAAGCTTGTTTGGTTGCTACGCCGATTCACCTGCCGCGATTTTTTTAAGATGCGTTTTGCATAATCCTTTTTTGATTCATCATAATAGTTTTTGTACAATTTCAATTAAAAAGGTTATTGTACGCTAATATTTTAAGTCCGTCACTAATTGTCTCCTTTCAAATCAATATTGATTGATTTGTCATAAATAAGCAGAAAAATTCAATACCAAAAATACATATTTATAAATTTTTAGTATTTAAAATATTGTAAAAGTTTTTGAAAATATATCGCGCTTGATGTCAAATTCAAAAACTGCTGGCCATCAAAATACGTCATAAAAAGAGTGTTCGAATTTCAAATTCAAATTAAGCATTGCAAGGTCCATTTGGCGCGTCTGAGAACGCTGCGTGCACGGACAATGCGGACGAGCCGTCGTTAAAGTCTCCGATGGTTTCCGCAGAAACGCGCCAGATTTAAAATAAGAACATGCATGGTTAAAGGAGTGAAAGGAGTTGACTTGGTTCAAAAAGTTAAAAATTTAAAGTATAATGCCATTATTGTTTTTATAGATAGCTAATTAGTAGTAAGTTGTAATAAACTGGTAAAACATGTATTCTTTGAAAAAAGAAAGTTATTTCGGATAAAGAGCATAAGTAGAGTAATTGAGTCCGCATAAATTCTGCGATTTTTTTTTCAGGACATAAGCTGTGTTCAAAAGAGATTACTTTCAAACATCAACAACGTCTCTGTCCGAAAGGCCCCACTGCTAGTCGATTTCACGAGTTAGCCACGCCGACTGACAATAAGCGTTAACTTCGCTGTCACCAAGAGTTCACGGCCTTAGCTGACTCATAAAACACTCTTAACGTGACAAACCAACGTTTACAACTAACACATAAAATGGAATTCTTAATAAGTCGGCTTAAGATTTAATTTTGTTTAAAATGCGTGTTGTTGGCTGTATTAAGTTTGGTAAATAGGCGTGAAAACTACATACCTCATCAGACATACAGTCTCTGCTAAACAGGAATTCATTTGACGCGGTGACAATACGGGGATTCGCGGAAAGTCCGACTTTCTAACATTACCTAAGTAGGTGCCTATGTGTTATAAGTATATATTAAATCCGTGATTGCTTAAGATAATTACATAAACACTTATTATGTAAACTTTCTAATACATATGTAAATTCCAAAGAGTAAATACTTTATAAATACAGATAAACAAATTACTCAAAACATTTTTTTATTTATAATATCATGTGACGGGACGAACGAAATGGTAAATTACACACCTGTCCATAACAGTTGCAGTGCCACTCAGAGCTTTAAATCGCAAAGATCTGAGAGGCACTGCCACTACACCCATCACCCTGAAACTGAAGTTGACAAGTCCCATGTGCCTGTTATTTTACCAGCACCCTTACCCTTCATAACCGGAACGCAGTAATAGTAACATTACTGCTTGGCGGAAAAAATAGAAAAAGGTTACGTAAACCTATTATAATTAGTACATTAGCTCAACAATTACTAAAATATGAGTAAAATTTGTAGTACACAAATGTTTTTAAACATGTCGTGCCTTACAATTAATATTTTAGTAGCAATAGAGCGCCTTGTCAAAGAGTTCGTCCAGGTAAGTACTGCCACCTTACCTATTTCTATCACCACTGCGTTCCATTTTTGTAGGATAAGTTATAGGCATATGGGATTTGTCAACTTATGTCTCAGAGTGATAGGCGCAGTGGCAATGTCTCTCGGATCTTTGAATAAACCTCTGAGTAGTACTGCAACTGACTGCTATGGACAGGCATGTCGTTTACCACCAGGCGCACGGCTTGTTCATTCTGTCACTTTGTGTCATAAAAAAGAACTAACAATTTTGACGAAGATGAATTAGACTAACAACATACCCTACCCTATATCCTGGGGCATCATGTCCAGAAGACTGGCAACTGAAAATTTCCTGTACTATGAGTACTAAAGCAACGGAATTCACTCCCCAGGTCACCCAGACCGGTACCAATTTAGAAAAGTTTCTTTCCGGAATTGATCCCACCGGAAACGGATTGTGGGACCTCTTCATGAACCATTGGGCCACCGAGCTCGGCTATTGCCGAGTTGTATGTTATTACATAAAACATGAAATTGTGGAGTTGAACTATGACTATGTAAATAACTCAATTACGTCAAAAGTATAAGTTATGTCCATTAGCTCCATGGGCCTGTAATTCACATATAATCGGTTTTTATACGATATTTATATATAGTTATTTAACACAAAACATTTATCTTTTACAAATCAAATATTCTAGGTTCTAAAAATAACGAACTGAAGCTATGCAGTGCGCGAAAAGAGCCTTCCCACACGATGTACCATTACTTTATCGTAGATATTTTTTTTATAATATCATGTGACGGAACAAACAAGTCGTGCGCCTGATGACAAGCTAACACGTCTGTCCATAACAGTTGCAGTGCCACTCAGAGCTTTAAAGAGCAAAGATCTGTGAGACACTGCCACTGCGCCTGTCACCCTGAGACATATGTTGACAAGTCCCATGTGCCTGTAATTTCACCTGCACCCTTACCGTTCAAAACCGGAACGCAATAATGCAAACATTACTGCTTGGGGGCAGAAGCTAGTGCAGTGTTGATACGGTGATTGTATCCAAATTGCACTAGCCTCCTTAACGGTTGGATTCCATTATCCATTTTACATCAAGTGGAATGGAGTCATCTGCGGGTCATGTATAAAAAAAAGAAAAAAAAACACAAAAGTTTTCTTTAAACTCAATCACATTTACGTAATATGTACTCCGAACATTTCACACTTGTTTGTGGTAAACAAAACCTTTAATTCGAACTGTGTTTTATAATTTTAACAAACAATCCTCTGCCCGGCGGCACCCGCCAAACGGTCACACTCCGGCGCAATCTTGATACAGTAAATACATTGTTTTTGGGATCCGTTTCTCATGTAATTATTGCAGTAAATAGTTTTAGGTTTTTGTTTCCTTTCTCATATAATTACCTATACCGTATCTTATTTTTAAAAAATCGATCTCAAAATTTCCTTTATCCGTTTTCGCTGTGTTTTATTTTCATTCAAATTACATCTATGTGCCAAGTTTAATTTAAATCGGTTAAAAGAAAGTGGAATTCCTAAACTGGATTCATATCCTAATTTTTGGAATATTTTCTTCAAATTTGAATGGGACCACTAATGAAGCACCCCCTTTCTGAGAAAAAAAGAATCTTCGAAATAGGTTCACAATTGTCGAAGTAATGCACACACAAAAAAAATACAGACGAAGTGGGAACCTTCTCCTTGTTTAAAGTCGGTTTAGATT